AGTCTTCAGCCCCAGATCCTTCATCTTCTGGGACTCTCTTCTTCTTTTTTTAGTAATGTTTTATTTACATTTTTATGTGTTATGTATTTATATGTATTTATGGTTTTAATGTTTTGTGTGAGCCACCCAGAGTCCCCCATTGGGGGGAGATGGGCGAGGAGAAATTTAATAAATAAATAAATAAAAATAAATAAATAGTAACAGTAAACATTTATCTGTTATGTATTTATATGTATTTATGGTTTTAATGTTTTGTGTGAGCCACCCAGAGTCCCCCATTGGGGGGAGATGGGCGAGGAGAAATTTAATAAATAAATAAATAAAAATAAATAAATAGTAACAGTAAACATTTATCTTGAAGATGGAAGAAATGGCGAACTGAAGTAGTGGAGCCAAGGACCGCAGCAGAATGAAGAGCTGGAGGGTAGACCAGCTCTTCCTCATTCCTCTCCAGTCAAGGAGAGGACTTGAGATTACCTACAAGTGCTCCAGACAGTTGCTCCTTGCGAGGAGACCACAAGACAGCAGTCTCCAGCAGATTTAGAGCTCTGGGAGACAAGGGAATAGCTATCTTTTTGCTCAAACTGAGGTTGGCACCTTTAAAAGGACACTGGGTTTGCATACTTCCTTTTCTATTCACTTTTGGAAATTGTTTGTTAACTGCTTTTCAGCTATTAGGAACCTTTGGATTGGCAAGCTTTACAGCACTGGGTGAGTTTCCTTCAATCCTTAGTGAAAGAAGTTTTAAATACTGGTAGTCCTCACTTAATGACCATTCGTTTAATGATGGTTTGAAGTTACGATGGCCTCGAAAAAGGTGCTTTATAGCCTGTAAAGCACTTCCAGCCATCATAAAACATTGTGCCACCCACTCCCCCCGCATTTCGGGTGCTTGGCAATTGTCTCACATTTACAACTGGTTGCCAAGTGCCCCACGATGATTCCCCATAGGAAGCTAGCAGGGAAGGTTGCAAGTGGAGGGGATGGGGCAGTGTGCAAGAAAGGAGCTCAAACCCTGAAGATTTGAGCTCCATTCCTCCATCCCCATGTTAGAAGGTTGGGCTTTTTCTTCCAACACCCAGGAAGAATTTCCCCTCCGTCTACGGAGGGAAGGGCAAACTCTTTGGTGGGCTTTAGGAATGTTTGAGAGTGAAAGGGCTGCCTGTTGGGAGGATTTCAGCTCTACACGGAGCTGAAATACTTCAGCAGACAGCTCTTTCACTCCATCTGCTTAATGATCCGGGAGATCACTTAACAACCGCAACCAGGCATGCCCAGATTGTGGGCATCTCGCTTAACAACCACTTTGCTCAATGACCAAGATTCCGGTCCCAAATGTAGTCATTAGGTGAGGACTACCTGTACAAGTTTAAGGACCTAAAAAAATTCTTTTGGAATAAACAGCAAAAGGGTGATTAGCACTTTGATTTTGGAAAGTTACAAACAGACTAAGGGTCCAGATGGATTTGAAATAAGATTTT